CACTTGGAATCATGGAGGAAATGTTTCCTCTGTGTTGACCCTCCTCTTTGTAGACTGTTCACTGGTTCAAGTCCATCTGGCGGGGTTTCCATGGCCTCCCTGAACAAGAGGACAGGTGATTCACCACAGTTACAGGACATTTTGAGAGATCTCCATAGTCCCCTGGAACTTAGTCAACCTTGGAGGGAAAGGAGCAAAACTGTGCTTTAAGTCCTTCTGAACACATTAGTATAGGCCTCAAAGTTCAAGGCCAAATAGCCACATCAGTGGCCATCACAGCATACGCCCTTGCTGAAGTAGTGGCACTTTCGTTTTGGGGGCAATCAACAGCTATCTAATTTGACTAAAAACCCACTCAAAGGGAAGAAACTCAAGTGTGGTACTGTAACATAACCTAATACACATGGCCAGAGTGATGATAAATCTTAGAAAAAAATCACAAAACTAACACATCTCTAGACTAAGGTGATTTCTTACTAAGTGCAAAATATGTACCCTTATATTTACAGACAAATATCCTAGAAGCTCATTTTGTAGCAGTCAGAGACTAATACCAGGTACCACACTGGTCACACACGGACATTGTCTATAAATTGCCCAGGCCTAAGGGACACATCTGCAGTGCAACCTCTACACCTAAGCTCATGGAACACAGAACAGGGATAAAGAAGAGGACACTATCAGTTCTTATAATGAAGCTCCTCATGCAGTGGAGGGCCAGGAACACAAAAGGTCACAAATGGCCAAAGTGTAGAGATCAAGAGTCTGCTAAATAATCGTTCTCAGACAGAACCCCTTTATTAAACTTCATCCACCCAAAGCTCAGGGACCATTACAGAAGAGGGAGCAGAGAGATTGTAAGAGCCAGGGAGGATGGGCATGACCATATGAAAACAGAGTCCTACAAGCTCCTGGGACCCGCTCATATGATTCTATGGCATAGGCGTCAGCATACACAAGTCCCATGCGAACTCAGGCAGACAGTAACCCAGGATAGAACTGGGAAAATGAACATCAGACCTCAATCTTATCTGAAGGAATGTTGGTAACTGATTGCTCCTAGATGAAGAAGAGCTGATCTTCCTAAAACAGGGGACTCTAGATAGGCTGACTAGACTTAGTGGAGGGACTTTCACTGGGGAACAGCTGGGGGCACCGACAGCACAGTGGGCAGTAACAGGGATGACAGAGTATATGGGCTCCAGTGGGGTCGAGTGTGGCTATGGGAGGGTCCCATTTGATGTGGGTATATGGATGAATATGATTGTTTGGGATGTTCTGTATAAAATACACACAAAAAATCAATCAATAAATAAAATGAGTTATATTTGAGGAAGAAGCATAAAAATTTGCCTCATGTTAATTAGTAGAGAAAAACACTACCACTGAAATCTACCTAATGACTTTATATCCATGCTCAAGTGCCAAGGATCTCAGAAAGTAACCAACTATGACTATTAATAATCAGGTATATAGAGATTAAAGATGCATATGCAAACATCTAAGTTTTAGTTGTATTAAAAATGAGCTTTTCTGTATGAATCAGTGTATTTTAAAATGGAGATCTTTTTTTTATTCTTATTCCTTTATGAAGTTAGTTAAAAATTAATGAACAAGAATTAAAGAGACTGCGCTGCAATTAAGTTAGAATATTCTAACTGGAAAACAGTTACTGTGAAACTATTTACATTCTCATAGAATTATAAACATTTCTCAAGGAATACTTTACAGCACAACTTTTTTTTTTTTCATACAGAAGAATTCATTCCAAAGCAATTGACATTGAGACGTTTTCACATGCATTTCTAATCTCTATATACATGACTATCACTGGTCACAGTCGCCCACCTTCTGAGCTCCTCGGCATCTGAGCATGAATACAAACTCGTCAGATAGACAGCCTTCCTCTCCCACTAGAGGCTCCATACTCAGCCATCCCTGTCACTGTCCACTGTGTTGTCAGCACCCTCATCCATTCCCCCCTGTCTGCCCTTCTGGTAAATCTAGTCAGCCAGAGGTCCCTGTTCCAGGAGTTTGACTATTATAAACACATTGTTATAACTACTGTTCTTTCTACAGAAAGCAAGCACTTTGATACACAACCGAGACATGTTTTTCTAAAGCAAAGAGATTGACAGTCGTGGCAATACTCTTTTGCATACAAATCGAAGGATGCGGTTTTTAACAAAAAATGCTACTGTTCTTCCATTTTCACTATTATAAACACATAGTTAGAACTGCTGTTCTTTCTCAGAAAGCAAGCACTTAGAAACACAAGCGAGACAAGTTTTTCTAAAGCCAAGAGACTAACAGTCATGGCAAAAGTCTTTTGAATACAATTCGTAGGAAATGGATTTTAATACAAAATGCTTCCGTTCAATTTTTTCACTATTGTAAACAAATTGCTCGAACTACTGTTCTTTGTACGTAAAGCAAGCACTTGGATACACACCCGACACATATTTTTCTAAAGCAAAGAGACTGACACTCATGGCAATACTCTTTTTCATACAATTCATAGGAAACGGGTTTTAAAACAAAATGTTTCTGTTCATTCGTTTTCACTAGTATAAACACATTGTTTGAACTACTGTTCTTTCTACAGAAAGCAAG